TCTTACTTGAGAGGCTCGCTTATCCGCGTAGTCACAGTCCCCGACTAGACTTCGGTAACTCTCATTCCCTATCCCTCACTATATTAGCCTTTCAGCCTTGTTGACTTGAGCGTCGGAGTGCCTACGGCAAACACAACCCTGTGTTTCCCGTTCGCTTCACGCGTGTGTTTCTCTACGTGTGCAGGTACAGCAGATCGCTAGTGGCCTCAACCTCACGGGATCAGACACCCCTTTCCGTACAGGTAGTTTTACGTCTACAGTTTGGCGCCCACCGTGGGGCCTCTAGCAAATCATTCGGCGTGCGTGACGAACTGCTACGTGGAGGAATATTCCATGGCTGACAATCCAGACGACGTTAACTCAGGCCTCGAGGCCAGACTGGAGGCTTTGGACCACTCTCATGCAACAAAACTTGGACAAGGTGGCCGCACTGGAAGCCGAAAAACACATCCATCAGGGTCGAGAACCAGTCGCTAAAAGAGAAAGTAAGTCGATCTATGAACCGTTGTTTTCTGCTGACCAAGCACCCCCAATCGGTCCCGACAATTATCCCATCCATGACAACCCCTCTCCACACCAGAGCATCAACCCTCGGATTCTGGTAAAGGGCCGCGTCAACTTAACGCACTGGCGTCGACTACTCGTTCTGACTAACGGAGATAAAGATACAACAGGGCGCGGTCCAGTCGACCATCCCAGCCTCATGATCAAAACGATCCAGCATAGAGAACCCGAAGGATCAACCCATCCTCACCATACCACTTCACCTCCAGTCAAACCCAAACACAAACCCCCTCCTGTGGCTCACCCTCGCGGGGTGAACGGCCAAACCAAACCAACTCCAGCTCTGAGCCTGTCCATCCCGAAAGACCGAATGACTACCAGAAACTCTCCTGAACGTTCATGTAGGGAAGAACAACAGAACAGTGACAATGGGAGTCATCCAACCAGAAGGGATGAACGAAGACACATGCTACCAAGGAGCGCACGACGGACTGATCATCAGTCTACCCCCGAGGGATGACCCCACGAGACGTACCAGACCCGGTAAGATGGATGCCCCAATAGTATCCCCTTCCCCTGTGGAACAGTTACTGGCCAAGAGAAGGCCGACGTTGAGCAGTATATGAGGCGTATATGAATGCTAATCCCAACAAGAAGAGCAGACCGAATTGTACGTCGATTCACCCTTGCGGACGAGATCGCCTGCGGACATGCCCCAGAAATTCACTATCCCCAACATGAAACCATATGACGGTACCACGGACGGACGACCACACATAGCCTCGTACAAGCAGTGGATGTTCACTGTCCATACCCCGACCGCTTAGAGAAGCCTGCATGTGCAAAAGTTTCGGTTCTAGTTTGTCCGGCCCGGCCGTCCAATGGTACACGAACCTCCCGAACGGACCATCGATTCATTCGCCTCAGCTTACTGACACCTTTGTGGAACAGTTCGCCAGCGCAAGAAGCTAGAGAAGTTGTCGGCCGACTTGTACCAAGTATACCAATGAAGGGGGGAACCATTGAGAGGTATGTTAGCAGATTCAACAAAGAGAGATCTCTATTCCTTCTGTAACCCCGAGACTGCTGTGGACCGCTTTCAGGAAAAGGCCTCCTCCCAGATGGAGAACTATACAAAGAGCTTACAAAGCTGGGCTGCACCACCATGGAAGACGCTCTGGCCCGAGCCGTTATCCAGATAAGGTGGGAGGAAGATGAGATGAACTGGAGCCCATTCCAGATACGAATCAAGGAGGAACGACAGGAAGCCAGGCCTAGACCGGTAGAACACCGCTACCAACCCCCTGCACGGAATATGGGCAGAGCCAGGAGACCATATGACCGCCGACCTTGAGAAGTGATCAGGCATTTGGGATCGAACCAGTTCAAAATAACAGAATATGTCTCAGCACGAACCAACCCAGGTCGTAGCGATAATGAAAGGAATGGGATCCGCCGTACAAGTGGCCTGGTAAGCTCAATCCCGAGGTAAGGAGAGACACAACCAAGTGGTGCGAGTTCCACAACGATCATGGGCACAACACCGCAGATTGCATCGCCTTGCGGCTCGAGGTTGCCGCATTCTGAAGAGAGGGACATCTCCGTGATCTACTCATGACAAGGGGAAGAACACCATAGCCAGAAAAGCTCCAAACAACAGTCGCCCCCTCCGCTAGAACCCACACCGAAGGGTTTCTGCTCGCTAATCTTCGGAGGATCAGAAAATCAGTGGGGTAAAGTTACTCATCAGCGAAACGGCATGCTAGAACTAACCATCATGAAGTCCAGTCATCCACCCGGTCTCGATGGTCATACTCCCATCAGGTAATTCAGTTCGAGGATGATGAACCGATCACCCTAGCCGTCCTCACCACGGCCGTTAGTCCTCTCCTGCAAATAGCTAACATCTAGTGAAAAGAGTGTTCGTAGATGGGGCGTCAGCAAATATCCTATTCCTCGAGCGGTCAAAGAATGGGACTAGAAGAAGCAAATATCAACAGGCGACTGACACTGCTAGTTGGATTCAGCTCGGAAGCAGAAATCACTATCGGGGAGATCATCCTTCCTATCTATGCGGCGGAGTAAACAAACAGATGTCTTCTGGTGATCGACGCCCATCCCTACAACGTCATTTTTAGGCCGCCCCCTGGATCCACGGACATGCGGGCAGTCTCCACCTACTTTCCACCAGACAATCAGTTTCCGACCAAGTGGGGAGTACGGGGATCAAGGGTGACCCTAAAGCCTTCCAGGGACTGCTACAAAACCGCCTTCAAAGGACGGGAAATCTTCATAGCAATTACGTCGTCCGACCTCTGAGCAAAGCCAACCAACCGACCATGGAGGAGTTGGATGAAGTGCAGATACATCCGGATGACTGGAGAGAAAGACAACACATAGGCTCCCGCCTCGACCCCGAGACAAGAGAGAAGCTGATAGAATTTCTAAAACGGAACGAAGACTGTTTCGCTAAGCGTTGGAGCCTTGGAGGCAACGGAAAAGACTTACCGCTTTTTATACTCATCAAAGTAATAAAAAAACTAAATATATATGTTTTTAAGTACTGGTGACCATGTTGTGGGGTTGGAATTGGATGATGGTGGAGAAGCTTATATTGTAATTCAAAAATTGCTTTGAAATTCAAGAATAGATTTTCTGAAATAAAATGCAAGGATTTGATAGAAAAGCTTGTAACTGATGTGGACCATCTGGCAAAAGTAGCTTATCACAGTCATGCCTAGGCTGTTAGGGAAAAAACCTAATTAATACAACTTCTTTGTCTTCTAATTCTACGTTAAACCTTTGTTTTAAAATCTACATCGGATCGGTTGATTCAATCGAGAGTCAGCCTTTACTTCGATTTGGGGTAACATAAAAACCGAGAATGTCATTAAACCTATTTTGGATCGGCGATGGACTAGCAGAACAATATAAAACCGTCGGTCTGATTGGCACGAGCTTAAAACGGTTCGCTATTTTTGAGTATTTGATTCTAAAAAATTCATATTCCTAATTCATAAACCAATTTACAACACTTTTTCATTCTCCATTTCATTTGAATAAAAAAAACCAAATTACATCTTTCATTTTCATCTTCTATCCTTCTTCACTTACTCTAACATCTACAGTGTAAAGAAGAAGAAGAAAGGGGAGGGGAAGGAAGAAGAAGAAAGGGGAGGGGAAGGAAGAAGAAAGAGAAGAAGAGACAAGAGAAAAAGTAAGGAAGAAGATTAGAAGAAAGAAAAGAAGAGATGAAGAGAAAGAGAAGATGAGAGAAAAATTACGTAGAGAGATGCGAATGTGTTAGAAGAAAGAAGAAAAAAGAATGTTAGAAGAAAGAAAAAAAAAGAAAGTGACAGGGACTGATGGGGAGAGAGAGAGAGAGAAAAGGAGAAAGAAGAAAGCGATGGGGAGTGATGACCTGATGGGGAGAGAGAAAAAAAGAGAAAGACGAAGTGATGAGGAGAGAGAAAAAAATAATTAATAATAAAATCTGGAAGATACATTTGCTTTATTTTAAACTTACAGAGGTTTATAAGTAAATTTTAGGGATGTATTTGCTGGTTTTCAAACTGATAACAATTAATAGAATTGTTTAAAGATGTGACTGCTTTATACCGGTCAGACAGACCGATCTAATCGGTTAGACTGATCAACCTGATAATCGACCCCTTGACTGGGTCAACGAACGGTCTGATTTTTAAAACAATACGTTAAACTTGACCGTGACTTCAAATAGAACCTTAGAATCAAAATAACCATATCGTAATTTAGCTCACCTTTCATCTATTGCGTATTGATACTTCCGAGGAAATGGATGGCTATCTCACATTCAAGTAGCTATTAACGACACGTTTTAATCCTATTAAATCGGGCGACATTAGCATATATTACCCATAAGGTTTCTAAATTTATCATATAAATGATAATTTTGCATTTTTTAACAAACAGATCCTCAGCGTTTCAAAACTATATTATGAATACCTGTTACTCTAATTATATTATATTATATTATATTATCGTCGGTGATAGTATAATTTTAGTCTTATAAGAAAGTAGTGTAAAATAGTAACTTTGATCTTATAAGAAATTGTTTTGCAAACCTAACAACAATGACAGTGTTAGAGTAAAGGGGTATTTATGATACATTTATATATTTATGTAAATTAGTCAATCATTAATAGTGAATATTGTTGTGATAATTGCAACTAATCAAGTATTAGTCTTTAGGGAGGTAAACTATCAAATGCTAATATTCATAAAAGAAGTAAACACTATTTTCATGATATCAATTTCTTGTATTATAAGTTTTATATATACAATTTCGAAATCTTTACTCTATTACAATCTAATGGTTTAATATTGGTGATTTGAATTACCTATTAGATATTATCATCTTAATATTTCATTCTATATGTATTTCAACTTCCCATTACAATCCACCCTCAAATTTTTTTTTTTTTTTTCATCATTCATTTGCATCGTTCTCTTCTCAAATTTCAGAAAACAATGTTGCCCTACTTGAATCTGCAAGATGCAGAGGCTGGTTTAGGCAGAGAGCTTAGTTTTGCAGAGAAAATATGGTTTAACTATTCAGCCAACAAACATGACTTTGTTCTTCACTCTCACAACATCATTTTCTTGTGCTTCTTTTACTCCTTAGTTCCTCTACCATACATGTTAGTGGAGCTTAGTCGTTCCAAGAAAATAATGAAGTATAAAGTTCAACCCAAAGTCCAGAGGTCATTCTGGGATATGTTCAAGTGCTACAAAGATGTCATGAAATCTTTCCTGATTGTTGTCGGTCCTCTGCAAATACTCTCTTATCCTACTATAAATGTACGTTGGATTTTATTTTAATGATTTGAAATATAATACGATCAAGCAACAATATTTTTTCATTGAACTAACTTGATATTGAATTGTCCATAATTAATAGTTTATATGAATTTGGGGATTTGTTGGAATTTCTTTTTTGCGGCAGTTGATCGGAATTCGGACTGGTTTGCCATTACCTTCTTTGTGGGAATTGTTGCTGCAATTGGGGGTTTACTTTTTAGTAGAAGATTACGTGGGCTATTGGGTTCATCGATGGTTGCATACAAAATGGGGGTACGAGAACATCCACCATGTACACCATGAATATAGAGCTCCAATAGGATTCTCAGCACCGTATGCTCATTGGTCAGAGATTTTGATCCTGGGCTTTCCAGCATTTCTTGGTCCTGCATTAATTCCTGGCCACATCATCACATACTGGTTATGGTTCATTTTGAGGCAAATGGAAGCCATTGATACTCATAGCGGGTACTATACATCATCACTATTCTTCCTAGCATTAATAATCCCTCTTAATCAAGAGTTCAAGCAACCAAAAGCTGAAAATGGGTTTGTATATGTTGAAATGCAGATACGAATTCCCTTGGACAAAATATATTCCCTTCTATGCAGGAGCCAAGTTCCATGATTATCATCACTATGTGGGACGTCAAAGTCAGAGCAACTTTTCATCTGTATTCACGTACTGTGATTACCTTTATGGAACAGATAAGGTTAGTTTCAAATTAACATGCAGAAATTTTCACACATATTCTTGAATTTCCAACTTGATTTCTTTTATACTTTTTCTTTTTTTAATGACAATTAGGGTTACCGGTGTTATATGGTTCTCGCCAACAAGGTACTTCTGAACTCAGTGGTATATAACCTCAAATTCTATATATTTTTCAAGTAGTTTTATGTTGAATATCAATTGGAAGTTGAAAAAATATGAATTATACTGTTACATTCTAACCTTTTCTTGTTGATATTGCCATTGGAAGGGCGATTAGAAGTTAGAAGCGACAACATCAGAACGGAGACAGATATTACTTTCTTGCAGAAAATCTCAGTGTCAAAGTTCTGAGTAATTTGTTTTTATATAATATCCTTGTCAGCATTCTGAAAGCTGTGTATTGGATAAATGCTAGAATTACGTGTGTATTACTTGCAGAAAATCTTAGGTGGTGTTTTACTTCGTAAAATATGGGAATGGGAAAAAGGATTGTATGGAGATGGAAATAAGAATATTTAAAGGAATAAAATATGATTATATTACTTATTTCTGTTCAATTAATTTATATAAATTTCATATTATTGTAAAAATGTATATGTATAATCATTCAAAGTTTGAGGATAATTTTATTTCATAAATATAAATATTGTTTTTTATTTTTCAAAATTTCAGAACCGGTCGACGCCTGTCAAAGTTTCTGGACGGCAACGTTCCTTGGACGTTTCCAACGTCCTCGTCGGCATGTGAAGGCTTTCCCTCTGTCGATCTTTCGATTTGGACGGAAACCGGCTGTTGAATAACGGCGTTTGGACGTCATGCGCAGTGGTCATATCTTCTGTCGTTGAGATTGACGTACACACGCCGGTCGTTGGCGGCCTTTTTCGCGCAGACTGGGAAATCGACGGACGGAAAACCTTCATGTGCCGGCGGTGACGCCGGAATCAGGAAGGAACATTGCCGTCCAACAACTTTCACCGGCGTTGATCGGTTCTGAAATTTTGAAATTTTTTTATAAAAAAATAATTATTAAATTATAAAATATTTAATTAAAATATTAAAGGGTATAATGGGAATATTTGTTTGAATGGGGGATAGAATTTAAATCCATTCCTTGCCTTTGAAATACTCATTCCTCCTAAGTTTGGGAGCATGATTGTAAAATTGTGCATCTATCGTATATCAAAAACCTAATTTTTTGAATCATGTATCACGTATTATAAGATACGTTTTTTTTTTTAAATAAAACTTTTCTAAATATTAATATTGTTTCAAAGATTAATTAAATAATTTTGTGGTATTATTGACTATACATTATGGTATTACGTAATCAAAATTAATCACAAAGTTAAAAATCTATATCATTTCCTCTTTAACCATTCATATTATTTTCAAGATCAATGTCAATATCTATATCTCTACTTTATTATTATTATCATACAAAATGGACAATACATTCTTTTTTACTTTCTCTTTAACAAGTTTTAGTGAACCAAGTTAGGTGACGTAGATCTGACCTGAATTTTTTCAGGTCTTTGACACAAATTAATAAAATTGTATCAATTTATATCGATATTTTCAAGGATACGAATATATACATATCATAAGATACACATCACGTATATAAAGTACAAATAATAATGATATCGTGGGCTAGACTGACGATATATATTTGGATGGTTAAAATTATTTCCTTGTAAAAATGAGATTGGCATTTTTTTGTTATTTTTGTTATCGTATAACATGAGTTTAGGAATTATCTCATTCCAAAAGCGACAAAATGGGAAATTTAGAAAAACAGTGCCACGCCCGTCTAGCTCAGTCGGTAGAGCGCAAGGCTCTTAACCTTGTGGTCCTGGGTTCGAGCCCCACGGTGGGCGTTTCTTTTTGCATCTTACTAAACTAATTGAGAATAACTTAACCATACTGATTACAAACTATAGCAGAGAGGATTTGAACAAAATTAATAAATACTAACTCAAACCACAGTTTCTAGTTCCGTATGATGCTTTCTAGTCTCCAAAATTTCAGTACAATCAATCTCCAAAACCCATATCATATTTCTGCAGTTCTGTCCACACAAAGTGTTTAACGTTCTACTTTTCAGTCAGGTGTAGGTCTGTTCTCTGCAACCCGTGATAAATATGTAACTGAACCGTCTAACCTCAAAAGGATTTAGTGCTCAAAACTTTTGGTGTATCTGAATCAATCTCTGTCAAATCAGAAGCTACTTCATGCCAGGGCTTGATTTAGTGAACTGAATTTCCCTTCTGATCAGTCAAGCGAGGGCGCCGTCCACAACTTAACTTTCTTGTCACCGCTAGATGTTGCTAAGATCATGCCTTGTCCATTTCCTGTAAATATGATAAGTTCAAGTGATTAAAAATTCACATAGACATCTAATTCACAAAACATAAGATGAACATCTGAAGAAGAAATCAGCAGAAAATTCAAGCAAGGTAAAAAAGCACATCAATAACTGCAAGAGTTTAATCATAAAATATTGGTCAGGATTGGCTATCAACCATGCTCATATATCTACGCTTCAAAATATTTTGAATCCCCAAAGTTTTACATCTGTTGGAGCTACAAGAATGACATATTTATATAAAAACAAAAAAAAAAAATTATAAAAATATCATTGGTGACATGCCTCGAGACCTGGACTCCTTTATCAACTTTCCCACAGGATTCCAAGAATCTGAAATAAATTCTGTGTTATGGATTTTCTTAGTAGGTATTCTATGATGCTCTCTTTATGCTACAGTTGTTCCAGTGCAGTGGTGAAGGCATCTTCGCAGATGGACAAGAATCTCAAAATAAATAAAAAAAGAGGGGACGGTTTTCCAGAAGAGACATTTATATAATTTAGGTAGTAGTAGAGATATTTGTATGAACTAGAAGACATCTGTGTATGTGCATCTCTAAGTTTTCTAGTTGAGAACATCAACAACTTAGGTACCAAAGAACAGAAGGGACATTAGTCATAAAGGAAGGTGATTTACCCATTGGAATTGTCTTTGGTGCCCAGGCAATGGATGTGATATCACCTGCAAGATAAGACTACTATAAATACAAAGAAAAGAGAACAAGAGTAGTAAAAGAAGGTGGCATATTGAGGGGTGTTCAAGATCCAAGATTCATACACCTTCAGCTGTTACCTATCAATAAAAGATACACCTGACCTGATGATTGCAGAACAAACTATAAACACTGGACTGAAAAGTAAAGACCAAGCTTGAAAAGGAAGAAAAAAATCAATCCAAAATTGACCATATAATAAAGTAAAAGCATGGTTTCCCACTCCATCTTAATCACTCTTACAATCGATTTGACTTGGGGTCTGGGTACATATCAAAATTGCAGAATAAATCCTTCTTGATGAAAAATGAAATTTCAATTAACAGAATATTTTAAATAAAGCAGGAAAACTTAAGCCACAGACACACCTTCATGGGCTTTGTCAGCCATGTCTAAAACCTTTCCAGTTTCAACACTTAACCACTGCAATGTTGAGCGATGAGTAGCTGCCAATATCCTTCCATCAGGAGACAGACGCTAAGCGATCATAGTGCAAGGCAGCACCACTTGAATCACGAAGTGGAATTGAAACACCTTCAAAGTCTTAGGATCCTCACAAGATGATATCGAACTTCGAAAAACAGAAGCCAAAGATCAGGATAGACAAAATTAATGTACTGTTACCAAAATATTCAACTAGCAGAAAATGTAAATTAGATCTGGTGAACATGATTAAGGATGCACATGCTTTTAAAAAAGAATGTGTTTGTGCCAATAAGAGGCAGATGTGTATGGGTGGCTGAGGCTAGAGGAAACAAGAGTTATTAGTTCTGATTCATGAAAAAACTAGACAAAGTACAATAAATATGATATTATACAAACCTGATGTCCAAATTCTAATTGAATCATCCTTGGAAGCTGTGATGATTTGCTCTGAGTTAGGTGCAAAGCATAACCACGTTACTGCACTCTGCTTGTACAAAACAATTTAAAAAATTAGGCCACAAGCTTTTACGCAACATAGTCCATTAAAAACAAATGGAACAAGAACTTGAGGATGGAAGAAGTTCAACATAGATCAGGGCAAATCATGCATTTGACACATAGCAGGAAGTGCCACAGACAGCTACAGGCATAATCTGCTTCTTCTTAATCTTATGCATCTTACAGAAGTATGGTTCTCAAGAGAAAATTTGTAATTTTTCTTTTTAATAAAAGTTTCCATTCATTGATTAGATTTTCTGAAATTGAACATGCGAAATTTATCTAAAGTCAATTAAGATAAAATCCTATTCAGATTTGAAATTCCAGGGAAAATAAAACAGAAGAAAGAAAAGAAAAGAAGAAGAGCATCATGAAGTCATGGTTGACATCAAGATATATAAATGTTGATCAAATCATATAACCTTATGTCCTTTAAGGCAGAGCTTTTGAACCTCCTTGACTGAACCATCCTTGAGTACACAATTTCCACACCTACATAAGAAAAAGAAATCAATTAGCAATCCACAAGTTCCAATTCAAACAACAAATGCTCATTATAGCATGATCTGACAAGAACTTCATAAGGGGACTCATAAATGATCAGGAAATATCCCATGAGGTGTATATGGTCATAGGCATTAATCGCAATAGCAGCAATACTCACCTTCACGTCAGCAGTGAAAGCAGCAGCAGCAAGAAAACGCCCATTGTGATATGGCAGCCATGTGGTTTTCAATTGATTTGAAATCAACATGGCCCAAAATTGTCCAGTTTTTCCATGCCAAATTATGATATCAGTTCCTGGAAAGCAATAAATGATTAAAAAGAATCATTCTTCCACAAAAACCAAGGAAGTACATGAATTTAAATAGGCCAGGTTTAATAAAAGGAGTTAAGATAAGCATTAAGTCATAGCATGTAGGACAAATGAACTCTATACCTTCAGAACAAGAGGCAATAATTGTACTACTACCATCACCACTGCCGTAACTAGCAGTAGCTCGATAAAGAGTTAGGATAGCTCTTTTATCATGGATTTTGTGATGTTCCCATTTGATTTCTGGAAGGGGAAGCTTGGCTTGCTGTTTTTTCATTAACAGAGATGTGTTTCTCCTCTCCATACATGTACAATGAAGAGCCGAGAGATATGAGTTGCAACAACAATCGAAGTGCATCATCAGTAAATGGGACAGCTGTTGGAGGACCTCCAGGTGGCAAATTAATCCTCAGAAACCTGCAGAAGCAAGAAAGAACTCAAATTCATAAAGCAAGGACAAAATCAACTGTATGAACGATAAATTTGAGGCAATATCCAGAAAAATTAAATGATACTTCGGATTCATACTTGAAACTTTTACTTAAAGCATCATCCAACTTAAATACCTGAAAACTCCATCAGCACAAGCTGTTCATAAAAAATAACGCATAAAATAATATGAAGAAAACTATATAATGCCCACAAATTAGCTACAAAGACAAAAGTAAGTGAAGATAACG